GTGTCTGTATTATCTGTGCTTTGAGATTCCTTCTGTTTGAGCTTTTGATCTAGAGAAGTATGAAAAGAATACATATTTTGTGAGTGTTTTGAAATGAGTAAGATTGTATAGCTTGCAATTAAGTTAGAGAAGCCATCTAAAATTATGGAATTAGTAATAGTTTGAGGAAATTTCTGATTTCTAGCGTGCAAGTCAACGGAAACAATTGAGAAGCTCGGACTGTGAAATCTACTTTCATCTCTATGTTTATAGTACCAGTAGAAAATCAGAAATCAGAAATATGCTTTTGCCTACATTACAAAAATATTTTCAGTGTGGTTGTGGAGGAGTATTAGCGAGAGCTGAGATTACGTCTCCCTTATAACCACAGATACACCAATACTCAAGCAGCGCCTCGAACTCCAATGAAAGTCCCATATGGGCTCACAAATCCTGACGGCTCACATTACTTTCTATCATCAACACAATACATTCATTACAAAATTAACTGTTACCTCCAAGGAGGCGCTCGATCTCATCGACATCTTTTCCCACGCGGGAACTCTCACCCATACTCTTGATATATTTCTATAATACAGATAGGAGTAGGGTGTAGGTGCAGGTGTTCTCTTTCCTTTGGTCTACACCCACATCCACACTCACACTTGATAAACAGTAACTTGACGTTTTTAGCTTCTCTCATGAAATCTTTAGACAGTTCTGATGGTATCAGGTTGATAAACTGTGTGAAAGTCGAATGGTCAGCCTTCTGACAGAATAATTCGTGAAAAACATATCGATAAGCATTTTATCATTATTTGTCTTACTTTCAGTGTTCTGGTCTGACGGGTACATTCGCAGTCGTTCAACAATAGCTGTTGTTAAGGACCTGAAGTTTAGATCATCATATTAGCGCTTGAATAATTACGCCTATCATACTCACTCAATACTAAGGGATGATCCTCTGATGTATAAAGCCTTTGCTACGCTGAGACCGAGCCAGCTGGATGGCTTCCAGCTGATTTCCATATAGACAGGGATTATAGTTTTGTCTAACGTTTTTGCATAGGTAAATTCATCTTCGCAATTTATTGAATCTTGATAAGCTTGTGTTAGAAAGCAAACAACAGCCCAGGCGTTTTCGACACCATCTGCCATGCTAAAATGTTTAAAGAAAATATGTGCAGTCGTAAATAGTATATCTTAAAATGAGTCAACCTATAATATTCATCATACACTACGAGGGGTGAGGGTGTGGGTATTTCCTATTTATATCCACACTCTGTATTTGAGGGTTGATTCTGTTGACCTATGAAAAAAGAGTTTATAAGCAGTCAGTCTGTTCCGCGATATTGAACAGTTGAGAACCAGTTTCTTCCCCGAACCGATTCCTTACAATTTCTAGTACTTGAATATTATGGGCAACACGATATTCATAGCGACATCAGCCACTTTTTTTCTCGAGAAAATCGTCGCAAAAAAACATTTTTTAGAAAAGATCTAATAGATATCGAAATACAACATCGTACATTTTTTAAAGAATATTACAAATCTGGGAAAAAATGACACAGATGTTTGTTTTCTAAAAATATTATCATAGGGAACAACGAACCATCCTACAAATCTGATCAACTCTGCCAATTTGAACAGTTTGTCCAACCGACCGATACGTATCAGTGAAAAATTTAGGCAGATTACAACTTTGCTGTCGAAACTGACAAATTAAAAAACTGTCATCTTTATACTCTACTACTCTTTCAGACTCCTGTTTTAGAAATCACATTTGAAAGAAAGCTCCATGATCCTTTTCCTTCTATATAATTTATTCTATTGGCTATAAGTAAACTTCTCTTTTTATTGTCTTATATACATGAAATGGTCACTTATTGTAAGATGCATACAGAAATTTTTTTCATGGGAAAAACCTCGATACTATAAACTTACCTTTTTCGCAAGTTCTCGCCCATTCCTCCTTTCACATCCATCCAAACAACATAACCTTGAGCAATAAGATTGTCGTAGATTTTCAACACGATCGATTGCATATCCCGCTGATAGGAGAGCATCACATGTTTTTTTCGGCTATCTGCCATTTTAATCTAAAATATTCAATGCGAAAACTCTTCCCATAAATAGTTGATCTATTTCTTCTTAGCTTCTTCTTTGATAATCTAAACAATATTACATTCAAGCAATGAAATCAAACAAATGACATTGCCTTCATTGCACGGTATAAATTCGTCAATGTGTGCAAAACAAACGTACATTTTTTGTTTATGCAACTATACAAACCGATGTTTTTAACTATGATCTAACTATCACGTAAATAGAAGTGTTGTAATGATGTTTTTATTTTACCATCAAGACAACAATAGAATTTCGAAGATAAGGGTGTAGATATGAAGGTTGGATGGGTATGGGTTGCTGCGTTTCATTTTTACACCTACACCCTTTTCCCCAACGATTTAAATGTAAAACTTACCCAAATAAAATTGTTTAAATGAAAAAATTTGAAAAAATTGTAATAGTTTGTAAATTTCGGATAATATTGTATGTAGTTGAATGTGCTTTTCGCGAAATGATTCGTTTATTTTGTTTTATAAAGTAACAACATTTGTCACTATTTTTTCTTTTTTTTTCGAACTACGTATTTTATTGTAAAAGAGTGTGTAAAGATTGAAAAGAAGACATTGAAGGTCCATAATGCATAAGACATGTTGTTAGAAAGAAAGAGAAAAAGAATTTATATGAAATGAAATAAATTCAAGTGCTGTGCAATTAAATATTTTTGATAGAAAAATATATTCTCCGTTATGAAAGATAAATGTCTTCAAAAATATGATGAAATAGAAGGAATTATTCTATTGGTTTAAATGGATTTTATCGGTAGTTGTAGATCATCGACACCATTCTGAGGGTGTCAACGTCTGATATATTCTTCATGTAGAAGTCGTCTGAACCAACGAATAATTGTAGAAAGTGAGTTTATTTGATTTTTTGATGAATTAAATTATGATTTTGTTTGCAAAGGAAGAAATCTTTCGATAAAGGTCGATTAGATTTTCATTATTTCACTTCTTTTTTCCATCAAATTCAATGATTTTTTTCTTAGGAATAACAAAAATTTCATGTCGAAAATAAATAAAATATTTATTTAAACGATTTCTTCGTCTTCTTCAATCGAGAGATCATCATGTCGTTCTTCTCGATTCTTTTTTATTTCTTTTCAATTATTAATAAAATATTTAGAAGATCAAACAATATTTCATTTATTTTTCTCATAATTTATTAAATTTTCTGTGAAGAATTAAATGTTTAACAATAAAATAAAGAACAATAAATATTTCAATTTATTCTCTATAGTTACGTATGTCTCTTGATAGAGCAAGAGATATATATTCTGTTCTCATACTATTTTTCTCGGTTGAATCTACTCGTAACTTTTAGATGTTATTTTCTATTTGAAATTTGAATTAAACATCTGGTGACAATATCGACAATATATTTGGAAAGAAAAGAAATCTTAATTTGCTGTGTTTTATTGATAACAAATCGAAATATAATTCTAATTAAACGATGGACATTGTAGAAATGATTTTGAATAACATTTAATTAGAATTTTGTGTTTCTTTAAAATATTTCGATATGACATGTCGATGAATAAAGAAATTATGAAGAATAGTTTTTATTCTTTTTCTTTAGGTTTTTCGAAAGTTCTTCGTAAAATAAAAGAATTGCGAATGCACATCTATTCAGGTGTCATTTTTATTTCAATTTTTAAATTCTTGTTGGTGATCGAATAAAATCAAAATGAGAACTGTGAACGAACTATTATTTTCTCTTCATGTGATGAATTATTGAATAGAGAATTTGATCAATTTTCAGTTTAACATTATTTATTGGTAAGATTCACCTTTTTTGGTCATTGTTGATAATTTGAATAATTGTTTTTGGAATTAAAATAATGTCACAGGTTCGAATTTGAAGTTAAGTTTTCGATATTATAAATATTTATTGTTTTGCAGATTATCTCTTTGTTTAGTTTGAATATAAATTCTCTAAAGTAATTCAATTTCTTCAAGTGACATTAGCAGTTAAAAAGATAAGTTGATCATTCGTATGAGAATATCTTTTTTTATTGACTTTGTGCACAGAATTGTTTTTATTCAAATGTTGATTTTATAAAAGAAAATTATTAGGAAATAAGAAATATTTATTGAAAGAAGATTTTCTCTTCTATTCGTAATGGTTTTTTAGAAGATGAATTTATGTATTTATTCAAATGAAGTTATTCATATTCAAAAAAATATTTTATATTCGAATATTTTTTAAATTTTATTTGAAAAAATTGAATTGAAATTGTAGAATTAAACGGAATTATCGAATAAGAATAAATGCGAATTTATCTCGATTAAATCGTTTGACTGATTTATTTCAATCATAGAGAAATTATGAGGATGGATGTAGGTGTGTAATGGATATAAAACTTATACTCATACGCACACTCACACCCTTCTTCTTTCTCCTCTTTTTGTCAATAAATCATAAAATCACAAAAATAAATCGAATAAAAAACAATTTGTTTCTATTTGCAAGTTTTTTTTTATGAATTTAAATATTCCTCTCAATTTGAAAAATATTCTATTTGATTTTGCTATAAAAATCAATTTTTTCAAATTCTTTTAATTTGTTTCATTTAACAGAAATTCTATCCGATTCATTTTATTCATTTGAGTTTTTTAATTTAAAATTAAAATTAAAGAATATTTATTTACTTTTTTTCAAAAAATTAAAACAAATTTATTTATTTTATCAAAAGAAATTGTTTAGTACATTTTTATTTATTTTTGTGGAAGATTGTTCATAATATAATGTTTTTTATTTATTTTCAAAAAAAAATAAAAATTTTATCTAATAAAATTAAAAATATATTTAATTTTAAAGTTTTCCATATTTTTGGATTCGATGATTTCCACTATCAGCAACATAAAGATTTTCTTCATCATCAAATGATAAACCTGTGGGATCATTCAATTGATTTGATTGATTTCCTTGACCATTTCCCCCAACAACAACCTCACCTTCTGCATCTCCTTCACACCAACGCATTACTCGATGATTATCACGATCTGCCACATAGATTCGACCCAAATCATCAACAATCATTCCTCGAGGATGAGACAATTGTTTGAGGCTATTCCCTTTCCCATTTCCACCAGCAACAATAATTCCTTCTTTTGCATCTTTTCTCCATTTCATCACACGATGATTGTCTCTATCTGATACATAAAGAGAATAATCTTTATCAATAAAGATAAAAGTAGGTTTATCTAGTTGATTAAGATGATTTCCTTGACCATTTCCACCTGCAACTACTTCATCTTTTGTATCTCCTTGTTTCCATCGTCTTACTTCATGATTCTCATAATCAGAAACATAAATAAATCCATTTTTATCGATTGTTAGACCAAAACAAGCAATATTTGACATAAGAATTTCTTGATTTGTTTGATTTTTATCAAAATATCGAATTACTCGGTTGTTCCCCTCATTAGAAATAATAAAAGAATTATTTTTTTTATCAAAAATTATATTTGTTGGATAACTCAATTGATTATTTTGATCTCCATTTTCATTTCCATTTACAATGATTTGACCAGTATTTGAATCCAATTTCCATTTAACAATACGATCATTCCTCCAATCAGCAATATAAATTGATTTTTTATTATCAATAAAGATCCCACGAGGGTAAGATAGTTGATTTAAATTCTGTCCATCTCCATTTCCTCCCGCAACAGTAACTGCAAATTGTTGAAATTTAATCTTTTTTGTTCGAATTTGCTCTAGAACCAAAGAGTTTTTTTATTTAAAATCTTTTTTATTATTTTCAAATAAAAAAAGGGCGAAAATAAAAAGAAAAACTAGTATTTGAATTTGTTTTAATAAAATTTTATTTTAAATAATTTCTTCATTCACTTCAGATTTTTTAATCAAAAATTCTTTATTTGATTTTCATAAAAGTTTAATTTAGGAAAATATTTCTGAATGAAAATCTGTTGAAAACTATTTTTTTATTATTGAATTAAATAATTTTTTTATTTGAACATTCTAAACTAAAAAGTTAAACTTAATTTAAATTTATTCAACAATTTAAAAACAAGATAATCTTTTCATTAAAATATTAAAAGAGACTTTTCAAATGAAAAAAATATAAAAAATCTATTTATTCTGAGAAACTTGTTTAGGTTTGAATTTAATGTTATAATAAATCTTTTAAAAGACAAAAAAATTAATGATTTTATAAAAAATTGTTGATTGACTTTTCAATTAAAATATCTTTATCTATATATAAAATAATGAAGCGATATTCCGACGCTTGACACTGTCTACTATGCATAGATCAAATTTTTTTTATAATTAATAATTTTGAAGGGTTGCGTTCATATTGGTATAGTTTGGCAGATCTTAATATATCCTTAAAATACAGATTCAAGTCATTTAGATATGAGGTATTTTTAGACTTCTTTTCATCTTATATTTGTTCATTCTCGACATTTGAAACTTTTCTCCCTAAATCCTCAATTAATTAACTAGCTTAATAAGACATCATTAATCTCGTCAGTAAAATTAATTTGTAATACGAGAAACTTAAAAAAAAACTTCTCTTAAACTTTGTTTTCTCTTTTCTCGAAATGAAACAACTAAATAAACAAACCAAATGATGAAATAATTGAAATTTTCTTGATAAATTCTTGTGAATCTTGTCGAATAGAAATATTTGCTGGTTGAAGAAATTCATTTGTAATTTGTGTTAATTTTAATTGAAAATTATTTAAATCAATTTCATTAAATTCATTTTCTTCGCGAACTTCTTTTAAGTTTTGAGATAATTTAACAAATTTATTTTCCACATCATTGATCGATTTTTGTGTCAATTTCATCAATGTTTGTCGACATTCTTCTGCTGTTTGTTGAATTTGATGAACTGAATTTTTTTCCCATTGATTAATTTGTTGAATTAAAGAAGAATTTAGTGGATTTTGTTTTTGCTGAATGATTGTTTGTTGAAATTGATCGTGATTATTAATAATTTCATCTAACTGTCTATGAAGAATTTGTCGATGTTCTGTTAAATGTTGAAAACAAAAATCTTTTGAACATCCTGAGCAAAGGCAAGTTGCATTTGCTTTGTTACAAATAGAACATTTTACTCTGCTGTTTGCTATTGCCATGTGTCAAAGAATTTAAAAAAGAGATGAATATTTGTTCTCATTTTCTCTGTGTATTTTTTTGTACAAAACAAAATGAGTCAAAGTCAATAAATATTAGTAGGTAGTAAAAGAACGACGAAAATCTTTTTTCGATAGATAAGAGATCTTCATCATGATAATAATTTAATATTCTTTGACATTGATTGAAAACTAAATGTCTTTAAAGAAGATGAATTATGAGAATTTTATTGATCTTTCGTCTTTTATATGTGTTGAGATACAAATAATATTGTAATTTTCACTGAAAAAAAGTTTTCTTTATGAAATTTTGAATAGTTGTCATTAACCTACTCAATTCTCTTTACTTCACTGAACAATTTAATACTGTTAGATATGATGATCAACGCGTTTCTTGAACTTCTCTCAAGGATGTTCATTAAATGTGTTTAAATAAACGGTTGATCTAAAAATCAATCGACAAAAGAAAAACAAAAGTTAAATTGTAGTAGAAACGAATTTATGACACAAAATCTAATTAACATCTTTAAAAGCAAAGATTTCTAAAATGAAAATGATAAAAGAAATTGATTATGATTAAAGTTTTTTCCAATTGAAAATTAATTAAAAGAACATTATTATTCTATTAACTCTTATTAAACTTTTATTTTATTTAAATAATTATTTATTTCTGTCAAAAATAAGTCTAGATCTATATTTACAGTTGATTTCTAAAAATAATTGATAATAATGGATAATAAACTTATAATACTTTTTGAAAATTGGAGAAAGAGTTTTTTGTTAATGTCTCAATCAGAGAGGAAAAAATCAATGAAATTAAGAGGTTTTAATACAAAATTGTACTTTTTAGATTATCGTGATTGACTAAAACTGAACTTGTTTGAGATCATGCCGATTTTTGACTTCTATCCATCTTGCTTTTCGTCTCTTTTCTCATAAATAACTCAATTTATCCATGAAATGAAAATCATTTCTATAAACAAAAAATTTTATTTTTTTTAATTTAGATGGATTAAAGAAGATTTTGGTTGATACAAAAAACGTTTTGAAATCAAATAAAAAATAAACAGAAATTTCTTCATAACATCGTTTGTCTTTATGGAAATTAATAAAAGAATTTTATATAAATGAATAAATCAAGAACGTAGGTAAAGATGTTTATTGTTGCATTACATTATTCTTTTATAATTTGTAATTCTTAGTAAATCTACAATAGTTTTATCATAAAAATCTATTAAGGGATTCATAGAAATCTCATAATATCATCTATTGTGTTATGAAGAGAATTATCTCATAATACAAATAAAGATGCCTTTAAATCGAATGAAAAAATTATATTATTCATGTTTTTAGAAAAAAATTGGACAAAATATTCAACAAGTTTGTTATATATGGATGAAAATGTGAGAGAAAGAATATTTAAATGATTATATTCACATTTTTTATAGGAACTAAGCAGATATTATTAAATGAATCATATTATAAATAATAAAAGCGTATTTAAAGATCGATAATTAGTCAATAAGTAGAATAGTCAAAAATACAAAATTATAGATTATTACTATTTTTCCTGATAAGTTTAGATGAAAAAGAGAAAACAGACTCATTTTCTCAATTCAAACAGAAGATCTCAATCTGTAAAGAAAATCTAAAATGAAATAAACTTACTTGAACTGATTTAGTTTATTGTTATCGTTGCTAGTTGCATTCGACCCATTGATGATGTATATATTAATTGAAATCTAAAATAATCAATGAAAAGATTAGAAATTTGTTTGTTTTTTCTTAAATGAATTGGATTTTATAATTTATTTATATTTTTAGATAAAATAGCAAAAAAATAAAATCTTTTGTGAGTTTCTTTTAATTAAAATGCTGAATAATCTTCATAATTAAAAATCTTCAACATATAGATGATGTTGTATAACTAACATTTAAATAATACAGTTAGTTTTAACGTATGTATATTTTTAACATAAATAAAAGTGTTTATTTGAACTGAAAATTTTTCAAATAAATATTTTTAATGAAGAAAATTTATAGTAAAAATCTCAAACTCAATACATCGATTCACATTCGAATATTGACTTTTGTCATTGTTTATCTATAGTTTTCAAAACAATCTCGAAGAGTGTAGCATCGAATGTACTACAGAACTCACGATAATTTCAAATTAAAAAAAATATCTATGTACAAAAGTTTTGCACACGAAATGGTCGCCCTATGATATTGTCAATGCGTATCTTTCATGACATTTCAAAAAACGTATAACTTACCTACATGAAACTATTTCAAAGAATTGAATTTTCATACTTGCGATGTGTTGTAATTATCTCGATATAAATAAAAATTTCTTTTCCATGAAAAAAACTCTTATAACTACTTTATAAAGCGATAATATTCGATGTTTCGTATCTTTTCTTCCAACTATACATTTAATTCGAAAAAGAACTATGATAAAACATTTCAAATGTTTTGTTTTGATAAATCATTTTTCAATTCAATTTTCATTAAAAGTGTTTTTAAAATCAAACAACAATTCGTTAATTAATTAAAGAAAAATCTTTCCAGCATTTTCTTTTGTTTAACAAAATTCAATTCAATTCAAGTTATGAAATATTTTCTCCTCTTTTTCTGTGTAAAATTTGATAAAAATCAATAAAAGATGAACTATTTAACATTTATTTATTCGAATCTTTTAGTCAAAAATATCAAGTTAAATTCAATTCTAAAGGAAAAACAACTAAAAAGATTTTTTCTAGTTCTTTTCTTATCAATACATTTCTTTTTTCATCAAATTCTATTCGACTTTTCATTCATTTTCAACAATAAAACTTTATTTTTTCTTTTATTTTTATTTCTCAAGTTTTTATTTAACAAAAATTTCTTTTCTTTTTTTAAAATTAAAATTTCATTTACAGAATTATTTCAAATTTTTCAATTCGATGATTTCGAAAATCACCAACATAAAGACTTCCTTCATCATCAAAGGATAAGCTATGAGGACTATTCAGTTGATTTGATCGATTTCCTTCACCATTTCCACCAACAATCATTTCACCTTCTTCTTTTCCTTCACACCAACGCATTATTCGATGATTCCAAAAATCTATCACATAAATTCGACCCAAATTATCAACAATGAGTCCGTGAGGACAAGACAATTGATTGAAATTCTCGCCTTGACCATTTCCTCCAGCCACAATTTTCCCTTCTTTTGCATCTTTTCTCCATTTCACCACACGATGATTGCCAGTATCTGTTACATAAATAGATTGATCTTCATCAACAAAGATAAAACTAGGATAATCGAATTGATTGAGTTGATTTCCTTCTCCATTTCCACCAGCCACTACAATTCCTTCATTGTTATATTGCCCCATTTTCCATCGTCTCACTTCATGCTTGTTCTCATTAGAAACATAAAGGTATCCCTGTTTATCCATTGCCAAACCAAAACAGTCAATATTGTGAATGAGAATTTGTTGAGTTTGATTCATCCATTGAATTACTCGTCTATTTCCACGATCAGCAATGATTATTGAATGATTTTGTTGGTCAACAATCATATTTGTTGGACTATTCAATTGATTCATTCGATTTCCTTGCCCATTTCCACCTGCAATGATTTGTCCTTCTTTTGCATTGCATTTCCATTCAACAATACGATGATTGAAGTAATCAGCAATGAAAATATGTTTCTTTTGATCAATAAAGATTCCAACAGGGTAATAGAGTTGATTTAATTTGTGTCCTTGTCCATTTCCACCAACCACAATGGTGGCATTTTGTTTCCATTTATTGAATTTCGATTCTAGAAAAAGATGAAGACAAGAGATTTTGACGAAAAGAAGAAGACGACGAAGAAAATTTGTTTTTCATTGAAGAAAAAAGAAAAGATTAAGTTCGATTGAAATTTTGATTTTGTTTTTACTATTCTATTTATTCTATATCAAATATGTTTCAAAGAGGATAAAACCTCTCTTAAGTATTATTTCATATCTTATCATTCTTTTTCTTCATATACAAATAAATTTAATTTTCTATTTCCATTAATACTATTCGTATTGATTTCGTTTAGAAATAAATCAATAATATTCTAAATATTTATTTATTTATTTTCTTCATAATTATTTTTCTATGTATTATAAGTTTTTTTAACATAATTTGCATAGAAAATGAGAATTATCCAAGTAGAAATTATTTGGTAAAAACTTACTTTTTGATGAAATAATTGAAATTTCATTCATAAATGATTGTGAATCTTCTTTAATAGAAATCTTTGATGGATTATTTAATTCTTCTGTAATTTCCTTTAATTGATTTCTTAAATAATCTAAATCAATTTCATTAAATTCATTTTGTTTTTGCATTTGTTTTATTTGTTCATTCAACTCTTTAAATTTCATTTCAATATCATCAATACATGTTTGTGATGATTTAATAACTATTTCTCTGTATTCTTGTGCTTTTTGCTGTACTTTCTCAATTGATTCTATTTCCCATTGATTAATTTGATTTATTAATGAATGATTTCTTGGATTTTGTTTTTGTTCATTAATTGTTTGTTTAAATTCATTATATGCATTGTTGATATGATGTAGTTCAATAGTTAATATTTGACGATGTCCAGTTAAATCCATGAAACAAAATTCTTTTGAACATCCTCTACAAGAATATGTTATTTTTTCTTCATTACATATAAGACATACTGTTTTGTTATTTGCCATTGCCACGTCTTTGAATGGAAGTTGATAGAAGAAGTGAATATATTCTTATCAGCTTTTATAAATGTTTTAGTCAAATTTCAAGTTTGACTAGTCGAAATTGAAATTTCAATTCTGACTAGTCAAAAATAAAAGTTCATATTCGACTAGTCAAATTTGAAATTTGTCTGAATTTTTATTTAAAATCAAAAACCAAACAATCTTTGTGATATTTATTCAATGAAAGAATGTTTTAATGTAGATTTAGATGTAAGTAAAGATTAAATATAGATCTTCATCTACAGCTTTATCTACCAGATGAATGGTATATTAATCTCTTGTCCACGTAATTGGTTCATTTTTTGTATTATTTCAAAAAACAAACTTACCAAAATGAAACTATTTCAAAGAATAAAATTTTTAAACTTTTGATGTTTTCTAATTATTTCGATATAAATAAGAATTTTGAAAATGTCTCACTTTGAATTTCTTTTTCATCGAAATAAATAAATAAGATATAGTGTTAGAAAGCGCACGGGATAAAAAAAAGACATATGTGTCTGATTGCTGTTAATTAAGTATTGAGAGAGACTGCTGTTCATTGATTCATTATTAGATTCTCTTGTCAGTTTCTTCAAAATAAAAAGATAGAATAGCTTTAATTTTAATAATAGTCAAATTTAATCATAAAAACACAAGTATTGTATATAAAGGGATATTCCAAAACTTATTTCTCTATATCTCAGTATAGATTCATAATAAAACTATTTCTCATTATATAAAACATCTTTGAAAAAATTCTGTATTGTTTAAAATGAATTCTTTCATGTAATATCTTTTATATATGTGAAAACTGAATGTTTGTTTAAATAAACTTTTTATAATTTTTAAATGAAAAATATTTTCGGTGATTAAATATCATAAAAATCTTCAATATTTAATAAAGAATAATATGATACATTGATTATTATTTTTATCATATTGAAATCTAATTAATACATCAAGCAGTTTTTTTAATATTATTTTTATACAAATATCATCTAAAGTCAATCTTAGAAAATTTAATAAATGTTTTCAAAAGTAAAATATAGCATAGAAATCGAATCTGTGAGAATTTAATAAAACTATAATATTATTATTATTATTCATTTGGAATTTTTTACAATAAAATTTAAATCATACCAATACTGATATGATGAGAAAGATTCGATGAAAATGAGATTTCTTAAGATTATTAATATTCAAAAAAATGAATATTTATAAATCGATATGAATACCAATAGAAGAACAAAAAAATAAATATTAAAGTTGAATATGATGATCTGAAGAGAATAAGTTATACGATATGTGCTCGTTAAATAATTTCATATATAAAATGAATAAGAATGATCATTAATCAATTTTAAATGTTAATAATTGAATATCTATGATTATATTTATTCCATAAATTAATTGAATAGCTTTAAAATATTGAAAAATTGTTATAATTATTATTGATATATTTATTAATATGAAATTTATAATTTACTTCTGATATCATTCGAATATTGATAATGGTGAATATCGAAAATAATCAGTTTGTACAACTGTTCATTGTGAATGTTAATCTAAAATATTATGTTAAGTATGGATTAAGATGTTCGGAATAAAATTCAATAATTCTCTTGTTTTGCTTTTGTTCTTCAGTATACTGATGAACATATTTTATGAATCTCTTTTCTAATATAAAACTTTCGAATCACATAAGTTTTATTTTTTCATAGTTGAACGTATTACTGATAAACTAATCCGAAGATATTCAAAAAATATATTTTTCAATTAATTTTATCATCAGACTCAATTATTTGGTTAAGTCTCTATTAACTTTAAATAATTATAATCTAACAATAAATATTTTTTCCTATTCATTGAAACATTTCAAGTAAATCTTAAATTTTTTTATTTAATCAAAATTCTTATATTTTGTTTTCATTTTGGAAAATTATTTTTCAATTCAATTTTTCTTATAAATCTTTTCAAAATCAAACGAAATGAAATTGGAAATGATAGACTTTGTTAATCAAAATTCTCAACTTAAATTCAATTTTTTAAAGAAAAACAAACAAAAAACTTTTCTTCATTTTTTTCTTTGGAATTTATTCGATTTTTTTGTTTAAGAAAAAACTTCATTCACAATATTATTTCAAATTTTTGAATTCGATTATTCCAACGATCAGTAACATAAATATTTCCTTCAGCATCAAAAGATAAACAATTAGGACTATTCAATTGATTTTCTTGCCCAAATCCACCTACAACTATTTCACCTTCTTCTTTTCCTTCACACCAACGCATTACTCGTTGATTTCTCCGATCTGCTACATAGATTTGACCCAAATCATCAACAATCACTCCTCGAGGATAAAACAATTGATTGAGATTCTCGCCTTGACCATTTCCTCCAGCTACAACTATTCCTTCTTTTGCATCCTTTCTCCATTTCATCACGCGATCATTCTTCCTATCTGTTACATAAACAGATTGATCTTCATCGACAAAGATAAAAGTAGGACCATTGAGTTGATTGGGTTGATCTCCTCTTCTATTTCCACCAGCCACTATAGTTCCTTCATTGCTATATTCACCCATTTTCCATCGTCTCACTTCATTTTTCACATAATCAGAAACATAAAGAAATCCATGTTTATCCATTGCCAAACCATGACAGTCAATATTCTTAATAAGAATTTTTTGAGTTTGATTTAACCATTGAATTACTCGTCTGTTCCCTTGATCAGCAACGATGATGGAATGACTTTGTTGATCAACAATCACATCAGTTGGAAAACTCAATTGATCCATTCGATATCCTTGTTTATTTCCACCTGCAACGATTTGTCCTTCTTTTGCATTATATTTCCATTCAACAATACGATGATTACAAAAATCAGCAATGAAAATATTTTTATTCTTATCAATAAAGATTCCAGCAGGACGACTGAGTTGATTTAATTGTTTTCCTTGTCCATTTCCAGCAGCTATGGTGACGGCATTTTGTTTCCACTTATTAAATTTCGGTTCTAGAAAAAGATGAAAAGAAAAAGAGCATAAAATATTTGAAGTTTTGTATTTTAAAAAAAAAAGTTTAAAACTTATTGTTTTTCGAATCGAAATTTGGAGGAGAAAGAATATTTTTAATGAAAGATAGTTTATTTGTGAAACAACTTGATAAATATTTAATTGGAAAACAATTCAATTTGTTTTATTAGACAAACATATCTTTTGAATCTTTGAAGATAGTTTTTTATGTTCTATCTTCGTCATCACTGTTCTATGTTTTTATAGTTTTTTAACGTTAATTCTTAGAAAATGAGAATTATCCTGTTAGAAATAATTTCTTAAAAACTTACTTTTACATAAAATCATTGAAATATCATTAATAAACGGTTGTGAATTTTGTTGAATAGATATATTTAATGGATTATTTAATTCTTGTTTAATTTCTACTAATTGTTTTCTTAAATAATTTAGATTAATTTCATTAAAGTCATTTTCTTTCCGAATTTGCTTTATTTGTTCCGTTAAGTCATTAAATTTCTTTTCAATATCATTAATAAGTGTTGTTGAACATTCCAGGACAATTTCTCTCCAATTTTGTGCTTTTTGTTGAATTTTTTCAAGTGATTCTATTTCCCATTGATTAATTTTTTCTATTAACGAATGATTTCGTGGATTTTCTTTTTGTTCATTAATTATTTGTTTAAATTGGTCAAAATCCTTAGTAATATTATTTAATTGATCATTTAATATTTGTTTATGTTCTGTTAAATCCTTAAAACAAAATTCTTTTGAACATCCTCTACATGAATATGTTATTTTTTCTTTATTACATATAAAACATTTTGTTTTATTATTTGCCATTGTCATGTTGTTGAATATATATCTCTAGAAGAAATGAATAATCTATTTTTATAAATATAAATTTAATAATTCAATGACAATAAAAATGTTGTTCACTAATAGAAGACATCGATTTGATTTTAATTTAAAATAAAAATCCAAACGATTTTCGTGATGTTTTTTTCGATGAGGGTGTAGGTCTTAGCGAGTTCTCATTGCTTCATACTCATGAATGTTTATTAAAATTGACTTAATTTTACTAAGTCCTACTTATAATAGAAAGATCATACGTAATACTTTCTCTTTATTCATAAAATTCTTTATATCATCATTTAACTTTAGTAGAATTTGTCGTTGCTGATTGACTCACGATAGATTAAAACACCAGTAATATGTTAGAAATAAGAAATGAAAAAATGATACTCTCCTGATAATATTCTTTTCTTCAATGCCTTTGAAAATATATCATCTGATCATCGAAGAAAACGTGGGATAAATACCGATTAAACATACATAATTACGAATGAAAGAAAAAAAAACATAAATATGATATTTTTTTCTCTTGAAAATAACCTTCACAAGCGATTTGTTTTATCTCATCATTATTTGTGTAGTATAAAGTAGTTTTATATGATGACTTGATGTATCTGTTTTTCCTTCTATTCTTGACAAAGAAAGGTAAAGAAAGAAAAAGAAATATACCAACATTGAATCGTTATTTGTTTCATTCATACATGCTTGTGTTTTCGAAATGCATGTACGTAATACGACAAAAAAACAGTTAGTTAAGTTGGACTATTCTATATGAGAATGAATTGAAAGACAAAATAAAAGAAAAAAACCAACCAAAGATCAAGTCATATGACAGAAAAGAAACAGAAATAGACTGATAAAATTATCTAATCCATTAAAATTCTATTAGATTATCTTCTTGATTTTTTTAATTCTTGAAACTTTTTGATCAATAATCAACGCCAAGGAAGACGAGCTTTGTAGTCTGAAAAATGACGTATCATCGAATGTTGATCAGTAGTAAATGATTCGAGATCAGAGTGTATTAGTCAAGCAATGGCAGACAATTGCACTGCTGAATGGTTTCAACCATTTATCTATAAACAAAAGAGAATATTACCAAAGATTTATAA